CGGGGAGAGAATGGGTAGGTCCGGTGGCATCTTCTATCTTCTAGTTTCTTGGTGGGACAGGAGGAAAGGTGATGGTCAAGGTTTGGGGATCCAGCTTGGAAAAGTCCCCCAGGTGGCTCCCCCAAAGGCCACCTCATTACTTTGATACCCATTAACTGAGGTTTTCATTACCATGAAGTCAGTATCATCGTCCAGAAAGGGGCTCCAATCTCTCAGGGTCAGACTCCCATCGCCCAAATTCCGAAACCTGATGTGTAAGCCCAGGGACGCACATTCAAGTACAAAGAGAAACTGGTGTACCAGCAAGTTCATTCCAAGCAGAAGACATACAGGGGAACTAGATCATAATCAAAAAGATGTTAATCACATCAACGGAACGTTTAATGACATCAGTGTGTCCCCAGGCTGACTCCCGGTTCCTAGGAGTGGTGCCTTGGCCAAAGTCTGCCTTTTTTTTTTTTTTTCCTATGCCTCTGGGGCTGATCAATCCTCTTTGATGAGCACATTTTTGTCTTTAGATATGCTAGTAAATTCAATTAGGTTGAGGGTTATCTCCTTTGCCATGGAGCCACGGTGTCCCTTCAGGAAGGTGCTTCTTTTGTGGCTAAGTTCATCTGTTCAGGGTGTCATGATCACCTCCAGCACCGACAACAAACGCGCTTAGCCTAGAAGAGGGCAGGCGATGGGCTATGGCACTACTCCGGGTTGACTCTAAGCTCCCTGAGGGCAGAGGGACTGCGCCTACCTTGTTCAGTGCTGTCTGTCATGCAGGGGAGTGCAAACTGTTTCTATAAATGGCCAGACAGTACATGTTCTGGGTTTTGCAGCGAGAAGGTCTCCGTGGAAACTAGTCAATTCTGCTGTCCATGTGCCTAAGCTGCTAGACTACGTAAACTAATAGGTGGGGCAGTGTCCCAATCCAGCTTGACTGGCAAAAGCAGGCTTCAGCCTGGAGGCTGTGCTTAGCCCATCTCTCCAGCACACCCCCCTCCCCGTGCTAGCACCGAGCACAGCCAAGCACCAGTAAGTATTTAAAGAAAAGAAATGGTTGGGGGCGCCTGGCTGGCTCAGTCAGTGGAACATTTTCACTCTTGACCTCTGGGCTGTGGGTTCGAACCACACTCTGGGTGTAAAGATTACTTAAAAATAAAATCTAAGAAAGAAACAAAGAAAAGGAAGAAACGGGTATCTGTTTTTTCCTTAAGTCTACCATGACATCCTTTTTTTTTTTCCTAAGATTTTACTTATCTATTTGAGAGAGAGAGAGCACAAGCAGCGGAGAGGGGCAGAGGGAGAGGGAGAAGTAGGCTCCCCACTGAGCAGGGAGCCCAACAGGGGGCCCGAACCCAGGACCCTGGGATCATGACCCGAACTGAAGGCAGTCGCTTAACCGACTGAGCCACCCAGGCGCCCCTATGACATCCTTGTTTCTATAAACTTCTTCCCATATTGGTATAACCACTGAAGTGAGAGACTGCAATGATCTGAGGAGGGAGGTGAAAGATGAGCGAGCACGAGTTTCAGAGCTTTCCAAGCATTCACATAAATTCATGAATGCATCATTCTGTGATGGAAGGCCCTCCGTCCAAGTGATCAGACTTTAAAAAAAAAAAAAAATGGCTTGAATATCCTCTTTAAATTGGGTAGATGCTTAGGGGCCCATAAACTGGTTTGGAGCCTAAGGCCAGGCCTACAGCCTCACGTGCTCCAAGCCTTAAGACTCCAGCGTCTTGAAAGCAGGTGCCGTTTCTCTCCTGCTTCCACCCTGTACCTCACTCAGAGCACACACACGGTTCCCACCTGTCTCTGAGGTCATTCAATAGGTCACGTTCTCCTCTTTATCCTTTAACTATGCTTCCAAATTTTCTACAGCCATCAGGTCCAGAAACAACAAAGTCAAAATCAATGTTAGACCAAAACCAAAGAGTTCATAAAAATCACCAGAGCAAGCCATCAGCTTTAGAGAGTGTACTTTTTCCCTGTTCTAGACAGAAACCTCTTCCTGCTTCTAAACAAGACCCAGGACTTGTGACAAAAGAGGCAAGAGCAGTTCAGTCCTGATGGCACTAAATGCTATTTGTCCTCTGAGTTCTAGGAAAAGATCATTATCCTCTTCGTGGAACAAATAATTAAGACTATTTACAAATCGTTCATCACGTGGGCTCTTGACGTGCTGAGGACATTCGCAGCACCCAGGCCTCTGCTGGGTCTACACCAGCCTCTACTTTCGAAAAATGTGATCCAGAACCCCTCTAGCTCAGAGCAATATGGAGTGAAGAAAATGGGACTGTCCCCTAAAAAGCCATTTTTCAAAAACTGGTCTCGAAGAATCTAAAATAATGGCAACCTTACCAAGACCACCTCCTGATGGGGGAAGAAAACATTGCTTTCTCCGTAACTTAATTTGGTTTAAACATCTCCTGTTTATTTGTCAGATATCCAATGATACTGACTGGCTATGAGCCCAGAGGTTTTCAACCCTGGTGGAGGCAGGAGACTTAGAATGACCACACAGTGCTTTTCAAATACAGAGATTCCCGGGCCTGCTCCCAGACTCAGGGGTATGAAGCTGGCAGGAACCGGGATGTGTTCATTCACCAGGCTGGAGGTTAGCATAGTGCCTAATGTGAACACACTCAGTAAGTATTTGCTGAAAGCACTGTGTGTCATGGCTCCTTCTGGGGAAGGTACAAGGAATCCCAGAGTTTGGAGTTTTAGGAAAATGTACTTTTTACTGCTTTACTCTTTTGTACTGGCTGAATTTTTACCATTTTTTTTTTTTGAGGGTTCATTTAAAAAATATTAGCTGTAACTAAAATAGCTAAAATAATTTAAACCCTAAGTCAAAATAATTACACCGTTTTACTTAAATGTATGTCATTACAAAAGCCAGCTCGGTAAGATAAATTATGTGTCTATTGTCTTAGTAATATGTCCTAGGTGGTATCGTGAAAGTGAAAATAATACTTGGAAGCATTTATTTAGCACTTACAAGGTGCCAGGCAATATTCAAAGTGCTTTATACATACTAATTCACTTACTCTTCTTTTAACAGCTCTATGTGAGGAAGGAGTGACAGCATCTCACCTTACTGAGAACAGAAGCCCAGGGAGAAACTGAGGCAGCATGCCCCGGGGCATTCAGCTATAAGGTAACGGATGGAGCGGTCTGACCCAGGGACCCAGGTGGATAGTCACTACACCACAACATCTCAACTAATAGGTAGAACTGGAAACATGGCCAATCCTAAGGCCCTCAACTGATTTAATAAATACATCATCACAAGAAATTTAAACAAATATTTGTTGAAAGAATAAACTGCAAGTCATCCCAGGAAAGCTCAACCTGACTCTTTCAAAAGTGAAATGGGGAAGGGGGGAGAGAGGACACCCTCAGGACAGCCAGGCAGGGCCAGAGCCAGGACAGGTGTCCCCTGGGTTTTGTCCAGTCTGGTTACGAATTCTGTCCCAGGAAAACTGCATCAGCTCGTCTCAGATACGTGCAGCAGGAAGGCTTTTGTCTATCCAGCGACAGCACCTAGAACAAGGGCTGGAGCTTAGTAGATGCTCAACAGAAACTTAACTGAATGAATGGCGCAAGTGCTCGACCCATGGCCTGCTGCATTGAGTCTTTTTTTTTTTTTTAAGATTTTATTTATTTATTTATTAATTAAAGATTTTATTTATTTATTTGAGACAGAGAGA